GGCTCAGAAGCTCATGTGGTAACGCACGAAGAGGGCAAGGAAGGTGACAAGAGCCACGTGAGGCCTGTGCCAGCTACTGCTGCACTATGCATGCAGGCCCCAGAGGGCCAGATTCACCAATTTGTAGAAGCCAGAAGTTGGAATTTTTACAAAACACTGCACTGTTAAAGTACCTGACGATACAGTCCTGCGAAAGATTGACAGCTGGTATGGCAGGGAATGTTGTGAGGTGGTCCCTAGGATGGTTGGGTATGGTTTGAGGGCTTCCAGGGGCATCAGTGTCTTGATATTTAATCTCTATCGTGAGGTATTAAGAGGGTGGGAACCTTGAATCCAACCATGATGTTTAGAGGTGGGACCTGTGTGGGAGATGGTTAGGAATAGATGAGGTCACCAGTGTGGGGCCCATGAATGAATTTTGGCGGCTTCATAAGAAGTAACAATGGCACACACCTGTAATCCCAGTGGCTCAGAAGGCTGAGGCAGGTGATCACAAGTTTAAAGCCAGCCTCAGCAGCTTAGCGAGGCCCTAAGCAATTTAGTGAGACCCTGTCTCTAAATAAAATGTAAAAAAGTGCTGTAAAAAAGGGGATGCGGCTCAGGGCTAAGTGCCAAGTGCCCCTGGGTTCAATCCCTGGTACCATTAAAAAAAAGGAGGGAGAGAGACCAGAACACACACACACACACACACACACACACACACTCCCTGGCTTGCACTGTATGATGCCCTGGGCACACAAAGACTGCCAGGCATGTGAAGCAATCTGGCTGTGACATCTGCCACCCCTCTGATTGCCAGGGCTGATCTGCTGATCCGCCTATCGAGGTGGGTGCGCCCTTGCTTTCTCTCTTCTCCATGTGTGTCCCTCCTAAAGCTGTGCACTGGGTTGAGGAGGACTTTCCCTGAGGAGGAGGACCAGTGCCCTAGCCCTAGCCCCTTCAAGTAGCTGTGCTTCCTGCCAGAACCTCTAGGCAGGCTCTTAAGGTCCAAGGCTGCTAGCAAGAAGGCTGTCACCCTGTTGGAAGCTCTGGACCTCCAGAACAGTGAGCTGAATAAACCTTTTCCTTATTAAGTTACAGGGCCTCAGGTGTCTTATTTTACTGATGAAAACCTACGAAGGCACTCCCGGATTCCCGCCACAGTGCGCATGCCCTGTACGACACTGCCCTCCTGACTAGGACAGGGTTTTGCTCTTCTGACTAGGTTACAGTATAAGGCAAACGTGAAGGGATTTTGTTTATATAATTGAAGGACCTAATCAGTCGATTTTAAGGTAATCAAAAGAAATTTTCTGGAGTGATCCTCACCTAATCAGACGAGTGCTCTCAGTGAGTATCTGTTGTCCAAGAAACCGAAGATTGGTTTTTCGAATCGTTTTGCCTTTCTGGGAATTGAACCCACGGATTCCCACGGTGCTAGGCGAGTGGTCTGCCACTGAGCCACACCCCCAGGCCCTTGTCTTGGTTGTAAAGCAGCAAACCTGCCGTGTGTGGAGAGGGCCATCTGACAGGGACAGGCCTCCGAGGACCTTGGTCTGTGGCCAGGGTGCTTTGGTTTGGATGTGGTTTGAGTGTTGGGAGCTTAGTTCCTAGGGCTTTGAGTGTTGGGAGCTTAGTCCTCAGAGGGGAACGTTGACAGGTGGTGGGCCCTGCAAGCCCTGGAGCCCAGGGGCAGGCAGTTGGATGACTGAGGATGCGGCCCTGGGGAGGGATGGAGCTCCCGCGGTCCCTGATCAGTTCCCAAGAGGAGGATGGGCCCGCCTGCCCTCTGGCTCCTGTCTCTCACCATGCCATGAGCCATGTGACTCAGCCAAGGGGGCTGTTTTGCTAAGTGTCCCCCAAAGGTCCATGTACGACAAGCTTGGCCCCAGGGCAGTGCTACTGGGCAGTCAGGGAACTTTCAGGAGGTGGGGCCTAGTGGGGGCCCTTAGGCAGCTGTGATGTGCCCGAGGGTTGGTGGGCCCTGGCCCTCTTCTGCCCTGAGCTCCCTTCATTGCCATGGGCTCTCACAGGAGGCCTGAAGGCCGTGGGCCTGCCTGACCATAGGCGGAACCGCTGAACTGTGAACCAAACCAAACCAACTCTCTCCATCCGTCTCTCTGTGGTGCCCAGATGGAACTCAGGGCCTCACCTGTGCTAGCCAAGTGCTGTGCAACTTTTCTCTTTTTAAATTAATTATCTCAGGTATTTTATTATTAAAGCAACAGAAAGCCCTTACCAGCCATGACATAGGAGCCCTCACCAGCACCAAGCTATGCCAGCACGATGCTCTTGAACCTCCAATACTGTGAGCTAAATAAACCTCTTCTCTTTATCATCTAAGCCTCAGGTATTTGGTTGTACCAACAGAAAACAGGCTAATGTAGTAAACTGAATCCTGCCTGGCACAGTGGCACACACCTATAATCCCAGCTATTCGGAAGCCTGAGGCAGAAGAATCACAAGTCCAGAACTGGCTTGGGCAACTGAAGACCTTGTTTAGGGGAAAAAAAGTTGTAGGGATGTAGCTCAGTGGTGGACTGCTCCTACGTTCTGTCCCCAGTACTGAAAAAGAAAGAAAGAAATCTTGCTAACAAGCAGGAAGCTTGGAAAAAGACCTGAGCTCAGATGAGTTTTCTTTGTGGCCCAGTTGACACCTTGATTTCTACCTGATGAGACCTTAAGCAAAGACCCGACTAATTGGTGCCCAGACATAACCCACAGAAACAGATAAGAAATCATTGTTGTCATTTTAAATGCTGTTTGTAGCAATGTGTTACAAAGCAATAGGAAACTAATGTGCTTAGGCTACAGGAGACAGACTTAGGGCAAGAACTATAGGAAGAAAACTTTAGGATGCCCTGAAAAGAGTGTGGAGCGAGGTGAAGGAGTGGAATGTTGTTGGCTACTGCTAAGGTTTCAATGTGGTTTGACCCCCTGAAACTCAGGTTGAAATTTAAAGAGAAAAGCTGCCAAGGGAATCATATTGAGAGTGGTGGGAGTGCTTCGAGGTAGGTGGTTGTTAAGAGGAGTTAGTGGCGTCCTCTGGGGACCGGATTAGTTACTGAATTGTTAGCTGGGTGCAGTGACTCGGGAGGAGGCTGAGTCAGGAGGATGGCAAGTTCCAGGCCAGCCTCAGTAACTTAGAAAGACCCTGTCTCAAAAAATAGTGGTAGAGCCCCCTGGGGTCAATCCCCATACCACCACCATAAAAAAAGTGACTTGGTCTATGACCCTTGTGTTTTGCCCACTGGCCCTGCTGCTTTTTTGCCATGTTTCAGTGCCTCAGGAGGCACTCACCGGATGTAGCTGCCAGACCTTGGACTTCTAGCCTCCAGCACCATTAGCCAAAATAAATCCCTATTCTTTACAAATTGTCCTAGCTCAGGTATTCTGTCATAGCAACGGAAGACAGACTAAGGCAAGTTGGTAGACTCCACATCACTCAAATTGGTAGGCTCACTCTCTGAGCTTATGTGTAAATCAAGCATCATCCCACGAAAAAACAAATGCCCCAGGGTTTTATTTACCCAGACAGACTCCAAAGTTTGTATGGGAACATCAGCATGGGAGGGCAGCCTGGGTACTGATGAAGAGCAGAGAAGGGAGCTTCAGATCTCCAAAACAAAACACCAAAGGCACAGCTATGTTGGGGTCAAAAGATGACTGTGGCCAGGAATTGAGGAGGAGAGAGGGGGACATTGGTAGAAAGCAGAGCTCTTTTTAGGGCAGTGGACACATCATTGTGCATTTGTCAAACTCCTTAAAACTCTAAAGCACAGAAGGCCCCTAAGGTGAAGGATGGGCTTTTGTTACAATAATGTATCAGCGTGGGTTCATTGATTGTAACAGTTACCACTGGTGCAAGATGTTAAACCAGAGGAAACTGCCCAGGGACAGGATGGTGGATGTGGACTCTCCGTACTTTCTCCTCCATTTTTTTTGAAAACCTAAAACTACTCTAAAAATAGTCTGTTTACTAAAAAAAAAAAAAAAGAGAAGAAGACAATAGTATATGAACAGACAGCAGAGCAACAAGAAGAGAAAGACAGAAATGACCCCAAGTTCATATGGGAATTTAGTAAATGACAAAGTGGCATCTTGGCTCTTTGGGGATACAGAATGCACCATCCACGGCTGGGGCTGGGGCTCAGTGGTAGAGAGCTTTCCTAGCGTGTGTGAGGTGTGGGTTCAATGCTCAGCACCACATAATAAGGAAATAAATTAGGGTATTGTAGTCTATCTACAACTTAAAAAAAAAAAAGAGAACGCACCATCCAGTGAAAGGTGTTGAGGTGACTGGGAACTGATGCGTGACTCACATCAAGAGAAAAGGGGACAGAGGTAGAGAGCTTGCCTAGCACGCGCGAGGCCCTGGGTTTGATTCTTAGCACCACATAAAAATAAATAAATAAATAAAAACGTATTGTGCCCAACCACAACTAAAAAATAAATATTAAAAAAAAAGAAAAAAGAAAAAGGAGAGCCCGGTGCAGTGGCCACACCTGTAACCCAGGAGGGAAAGTGAGAGGATCGCAAGTTCAAGGCCAGCTTGTGCAATTCAGCAAGACCTTGTCTCAAAATCAGAAATGAAAAAGGCCTGTGGATGTGGCCAGTGGTAAAGCACCTCTGGGTTCGATCCCTGGACCAAGAACAAAAATAAAAAGGGCAGGAGATGGGGCTCAGTGGTAAAGTGTCCCTGGAGTCCATCCCCAGTACCAAAAAAAGAAAGAAAAGAAAAGAAAAAGGGGGCTGGGGATGTGGCTCAAGTGGTAGCCCGCTCTCCTGGCATGCGTGCGGCCCAGGTTCGATCCTCAGCACCACGTACAAAATAAAGATGTTGTGTCCGCCAAAAAATAAATATTTAAACTCTCTCTGTGTTTAAAAAAAAAAAAAGAAAAGAAAAGGAGGAGGAAGGAGGAAGATTGGAAGAAGGAGGAGGAAAGAGGAAAAGGAGGCAAGGGAAGGAGGAGGGGGAGAAGGAAGGAAAAGTAAAAGGAGAGGAACAGGGAGGGGGCGGAGGGGGAGGCTGCAGTGCGGCTCTGCCGTGGCCTCCTCCCCGGCACAGACACCCTCTTACCTCCATAGGGTTGATGAGTGTCTGAGAGATGGCCACAGCCAGGGAGCCAGCGAGGAGCCGTTCCTGAAAGGGTGGGGACCCATGTACTCCACAGAAGTAATTCTTACACTGGGATGGGAGAGAGGCACGTGAGAGCGAGCCAGCCACCTCCTACTGAAGCCATCCAGGGAGCGGCCTGGAGCCTGGAGGGTGGAATGCTGTCTCGGGTGAGTTCGGGGCTTTGGGGAGAGGGGTGGGAGGGGCTTGGACCCAAACTGGGGAAAGCCGACCATTCCCCACCTGCTCAAAGACAGAGAACTTGATGGCGTACTCAGGGGCGATCTTGAGGACGTTGATGCCATTGCCACGCCACAGGGACCGGACACCGCCCTCCTGGACCATGCTCCGCAGCCCCCCCAGCAGGTTCATGAAGTTAGTCTTGGAGGAGTAGACCTGGGAAGGGAGGACCCAGGAGAACCCTGTGGGGAGCTCTGCAGAGCTCTATTGGGGGGCCACCCCTCCCTCTTCATGCCCAAGTACCCCTGGCTTCTCCGGTTCTGTCCCCAGCCAGTCCTACCCCCACCCAGACCCCAGGGCTGACCCACCTTCCTGTCTCTTCCCTCATCTCCATCTTTTCTCCACTCTTATTCACTTTTCAAACCCATCTGAAGAACCTGTCCCCAGCTCCCTGATCTCTGAGCTGACCCTGGCTCAGGGTTGACCCTGTGCCATCTGACTCCCCTCCCTGGTCCCCAACATATCTCTGTGTCCCATCCACACCAGCTGTGTCACTTCCCAGACCAGGCCCAGCAGTACCCCGTGAGAGCCCTGTTCCAGCCCTACTCCTAGCCCTACCTCCTGCAGTACCATTGCACCCCCACCACGTCCTGTGCCCAGTGGCTCACCTACCTGCATGTATACCTTGGCGCGGTCCAGAGGGGCTGTGCCTGTGCGAGACACTGCCCCAGCCATGGCCCCCGACAGCAGGAACTTCCACAAGGCCCCCTCGCCGCCCACTTCCAGCACCTCCACGGGGACCATCAGCTGCTCCCCTGTGTCCAGCACCTGCTGGGCAGACCCAGCCCTTGCCCATGCGCAGCGATGCTGGAGCTCCTTCCCCGGGCATGTCTCTGGGAAATCCTCCTGGGTAAGATTCCTCCCTGATGCCCCCCCCCCCCATTTCAGTGTGGCTCATTCTAGGTCTGTGTGGCCCCCACATGGGGCATGGGCAGCATAACTGTCTCCCTGTCCTTGTGGTCCAGGTTGGAGACACAGGACCCCTGTGGTTTCCAAACTCACCGGTTGTGACGGGAGATGTTCCAGGTTGTTTTCAAGCACATGCCCAAATACGTAGCCATACACGTGTGCACAGCCTGGGTTCCAGGAGGGGGGTGGGGGTGGGAGTGGGGGCGGGGGCAGGGGTGGGGGTGGCGCTTCAGCGAGTAGGGTCTTAACCCTCCTAAACAGGGTCTGGACCCTAGAGCAAGGCTTCTCGGTTTCTTCAGGATCAACTCCCATGGCAGCTGGAGGTTAGGACACCTGGGGCTCACATCCCTGGGGGAGTCTAACCAGCTGTCGTGTGGGAGTGGCTAGTGGGAATGTCTTGTAAATTTGGGTCCTAGGGATGATGAGGTCACAGAGGCCCTTGTGACCTCACGGGGTGTGGTAGGCAGAATGGTAATCTATCCTTTCCCCAAAATGTCCTCATCTTAATCCCTGAAACCTGTGAATATATAACTGGACTGAATGGTGTCCTGATGACATTCTTATGTTGAAGCCCTAACTTCCTGTGGGATGGAAGCTGGAGGTAGGGCCTTTGGTAGTAATGACATCAGATGGGATCATGGGGGGGTGGCCTCTAAGGTGGGTTAATGCCCTTATAGGAAAACAAGGCGAGACTAGAGCTTTGTCCCTCTCTTCACCATGAGGACATAGCACAAAGGCAGCCCTCTGCAAGCCAGGAAGAGAGAGCCCTCACCAGGAACTGAACCAGCCTGATCTTGGACTCCAGCCTCCAGAACCGTGAGGAATAAATGCCTGTTGGTTAAGCCACTGAGTCTGTGGTATTTCATTATAGCAGCCTGAGCCAACAAGACAGATTGTTACCTGGGAAGGGGGAATTATGTTTGCGGATGGTATTGAAGTTGCTAAGCAGATGATGGGGGATGGGAAGGTCATTCTAGATCAATGGGGTGGGCCAGGTGTAACCTCATGAATCTGAAGTGTGGACCGGCAGGTAGGAGAGGCAACGTCAGGGGATGAGATGTATGAACAGCTGGACCAGCCGTGCTGGCTTCAGAGATGGAGGGAGGAGCCACAAGCCAAGAATGCAGGCACCTCTAGGAGCTGGAGAAGGTGGGACACAGATTCACCCTTAGGGCCTCCAGAAGGGACAAATCCTGCCAATGCCTCGATTCCTGTCCAGCAAGATCCATAGCTGATTGCTGAATTCCGACCTCCAAAGCCATGCATTTGTCTTGTTTCCAGCCACCCAGCAGGTCTGTGGTCACTTGATACACAGCCCTGAAGAACTCCTGCTGTTTTTTTCTTTTTGTTGTTGTTGCCATGGCAATAGGAGAGGGAACAGAGGGACCACAGGAAGGTCTGGGGACCTAGAATAGAGAAGTACATGGTTGGTCCCCAAAATAAGACAAGGATAGGTTTGGGGTCAGAGGGACCTGGCTTTGACTCCCATCTTGATTGCTTCTTGCTGTGTGATCTTTTTTTTCCTTTGTAATGCTGGGCATAGAACCCAGCACCTCAAGCGTGTAGACAAACGCTCTTCCACTGAACTGCACCACCAGCCCTTTTTAATTTTTGAGACAAGAGTCTTTCTGTGTTTTCCAGGCTGGCCTTGAACTTGTGGTTCTCCAACCTCAGCCTCCCAAGTTGCTATGGGGCAACTCGGATGTGCACCATCATGCCTGGCTTCTTGCTAAATAATCTTTTTTTTTTTTTTGGTACTGGGGATTAGATTTGGGTACTTGACCACTGAGCCATATTCCCAGCCCTATTTTGTATTTTATTCAGAAACAGGGTCTCAGTTGCCTCAGTTGCTTAGCACCTCACTGTTGCTGAGGCTGGCTTTGAACCCACTATCTTCCTGCCTCAGCCTCCTGAGCTGCTGGGATGACAGGTGTGTGCCACCATACCTGGCTTACTGTGTAATCTTGAGGTATGTTTACACTCTCTTTCTCTGGGCATTAGTTTCCTCCTCTGGAAATTGGAGAGAATGATAAATAGTAAACTCTACTGTGTAGCTTTGTCAGTAGAATCTAATGAGAGTCTTAGTCTGAGTTGTTCAGGTCAAAAATTCGACTGAATCCTTGAGTGAGTTTTTTTTTTTTTTCTTTTTTTAAATATTTTTTAGTTATAGATGGATGCAATATCTTTATTTCATTTATTTATTTTCATGTGGTGCTGAGGATCGAACCCAGAGCCTCACGTGTGCGAGGCAAGCGCTCTGCCACTGAGCCCCAGCCCCAGCCCCCATCCTTGAGTTCTTTCTCTCTTCCAAGTCCACACTCCCATCAGATTCTGTTGGTTAACATTTGGAACATATCCAGAGTCTCCTGCTTCCTACCACCCCACCACTTGCTCCTCTGGACTAGTGCAATCCCCATGGCTCTGGTCCCAGCCCCTGCCATCACCCTGCCATGACCCGTCCTCCACATTGCAGCAAAGGGCACCTGTGAACACCTGAGTCAGGGGCCTTCTCCTCTGCTACAGCCCTGCCTGGCTCCCCTCCCTCTAGGTCCAAGCCCAGGTCCTCCCTGGAGCCCACAGGGCGCTGCACAACCTGCCCCGTCCTCTCCCTGCCTCCCCCTTCTTCTTTTCTTTCTTGCTGCCTCTGCTCCAGCCACACAGGTGCCTCTCTGTGCCACCAACATGCCCTGCCCTAGGGCCTTTGCATGGGCTGTGTTTGCTGCCTAGAATGTTCTTCCTTGGACATCCCATGGCGCTCTCCCTCCCCACCTTTAACCTTCACTCACAAGTCACCTTCTTAGGAGGCCTCTGGGTCGACCTGATGAAACTTTAAATTCTGCATCATTTATTATTCCCTTTCCCTCTTTTATGTTTCTCCTTTCTGCCTCTGCTTCCTGCCACTCCATAGCTAATCCTCCTGTGCTCTTGGTCTCTCCTCACTGGAGTGTAGGGTCTGTGAGGACAAATATTTTAAGAATTTTTTTCTCTGTACCAAGAATTAACTCAGGGGCGCTCGGCCACTGAGCCACATCCCAGCCCTATTCTGTATTTTATTTAGAGACAGGGTCTCTCTGAGTTGCTTAGCGCCTCCCCGTTGCTGAGGCTGGCTTTGAACTAGCGATCCTCCTTGTCTCAGCCTCTGAGCTGCTAGGATTATAGGCATGCGCCACTGCGCCCGGCAAGAAAGTTTTTATTAGTGCATTTTAGTTATGCATCATATTGGGGTTCATTTTGACATCATCATACAAACATGGAATATAATTTGTTCCATTCCAGTCCTCAGTCCTTCCCCTTTCCCTCCCTTCCTCTCTCCCCAGTTCCCTTCTTTAAGTCTATTGGTCTTCCTCTATTGGTTTATCATTTGTTATTGGTGCTTTGTAGATGTCCATAAAGGCGGAGCTCACTGTGGTGCATTCATGGATGTACACAGCATAACTTGGTCAATCTCATTCTGCCAGAACAGAGACTTTTGGCTGTTTTGTCATCCACTTCTATAATCCCATATTTAGAACTGAATCTAGCACATAGTAAATGTTTGATTAACATGAATAACACACAAAAGGCCTTACTCAGTACAGCATGAGGCACGTGGTACTTGCTCAATAAGTGTAAGTTCTTTTCCCTGAAATGATGTCAAAGGAAACTGAGTTTTAGAAAGAGAAAATGAGTCCATCTGCTGTGATATGGATTTTTTTTCTTGGTCCGGGGATTGAACCCAGAAGTGCTTAACCACCGAGCCACATCCCAGCCCTTTTTCTTTCTTTCTTTATTTTGAGGCAGGGTCTTGCTAAGTTGCTGACAGCCTCACTCATTTGCTGAGCCTGACCTTCTGCTTGTGATCCTCCTGCCTCAGCCTCCTGAGCTGCTGGGATTTTGGGTGTGCACCACTGGGCCTGGCTATGAAATGAATCTTAAGTGTCTCACAAAGACCATGTGGTGAAAGCTTGGTCCCCAGGGTGGCTCTGTTGGGAAGTGGCAGAACCTTTAAGAAGTGCGGCCTGATGGGAGGTCTTCCAGTCATTGGGGGTGTGCCCTCAAAGGGGCTCATGGGAGGCCCATCTCTTCTCCTTCTCTCTTCCACTTCCCTGACATGAGGTGTGCAGTGTTGCGCCACCAGGCTCTCCACCGTGATGTGCCACTCCAGGCCCAAGGCAATGGGCCAGCTGATCACAGACCAAAACCTGCAAACAAGAGCCAAAACAAGGCTTCCCCTCCCCCCTCCTTTATTTATTTATTATTGGTACCAGGGATTGAACTCGAGGTGCTTAACCACTGAGGCACTTCCCCACCCCTTTATATATATTTTTTTAATTTTGAGGGAGAGTCTCGCTAAATTGTGTGGAGCCTTGCTAAATTGCTAAGGCTGCTTTGAATTTGTGATCCTCCTGCCTCAGCCTCCCCAGTGGCTGGCATTACAGGCATGGCCACTGCACCTGGCCCCTTCCTTTTTTATTTTGCAGACCTGGGGATGGAACCTAGGGGGGCTATTCTGCTGAGCCACGTCCCTAGTCCTTTCTATTTTTTATTTGGAGACACGGTCTCCCTAAGTTGCCAAGGTTGGCCTGGAACCTGTGACCCTCTTGCCTCAATCTCTTGAGTGTCTGGCATGACAGGCATGTGCTAAGACTTTTCTCATAAGTTGATTGTCTCAGGTGTTTGTTCTAGTGATGGCAAGCTGACCAATTCATGCTGCATGTTGGTTAGCTAAGCCTCCTAAATCTCAGCCACATTATCATGGGATATAAGAATATGGACAGGAAAGCAGATGTTAATTATCCCCATCAAATACAATTAACACTCAGTGCCTGGGTAGCTGCTGTTAAAAATGCCAACTCTTGTTGGTAGCTGTAATGTTGTGTACAGTTCTTTTGGTGGCATGGTCCCAAGAGAGCCATGTCCTTTGACCCAGTGACTGCACTTGTGGAAAGTGATCCTAGGAACATAATTTAAAGAAAGTAAAAACACAAAATAGAAAAAAAAAAAAAAAACCCACAAAATAGTTAGCAAGATTTAATCCATTATATATTCTTTAAACCCACTCCCTGATCTCTTCTTTGAATGCATGGAAAGTCATATGTACATAAGTGCATCTATATTGTCTAGCTATTGCTTTGTAACAAATCACCCCAGAACTCAGCAGCTTACAGTGACATTTATCATCTCATCCAGTTTCTGAGCACCAGGAATTCAGGAGCTGCTTATTAGGGTGTTCCAGTGTTTGAAGTATAAGGATATAAAGTTCAGGATTTGGGTTTTGGCAGCCAGTGAGAGGGTCTGCAGTGTTTGGATTATCCAGGGTGTCTCACAAGGCTGCAATCTGGATCTTCTTCCTGTCTGTCTGTCTATCTATCAATCAATCATCTATTTTCTATCATCTATCAATTATCTCTTTCTATATTCTGAATTTTCTATTTTTTTTCCTACAGTGAATTTGTATAATTCATTGTTGTGGGTTAAATTATATACCCTCAAAAGAAGTGTTCAAGTCCAAGTGCACTTCCGTAGCTATTGGCTGGGGTTCCCCACTGTATGGGCTTCTCCATAAGGCTGCTCAGGACCTGACAGCTGTCTTCTTTCAGAGTAAATGACATGAGAGCGAGGAAGGGAGAGTCCAAGATGGTAGCCGCATTGTCTTTTATAGCTTAACCTCGAGACTGTGCAGTTGTCACTCAGAACCCCTGGAGAATCAGTTCCAGAAGCCCCTGCATGTACCAAAATCAGTGCATGCTCAAGTTTTTATATAGAATTGTGGATTATTTGCATAGAATTTCTGTACATGCTCCTTAAACATGAAACCATCTCTCAATGACTTATAGCATCTAGCACAATGTAAGTGCTGTGTAGGTAGTT